TAGTCCCTGATGGCAGTGATGGCGTAAACATCCCCACTAGCATTTCTAAGCACATCGTGGTGGAATGAGCCGGTGGATAAGGATACTCCAGGAGAGTGCCCTCTGGAGGGGACGGACAGAATGTCCATGGTGTGCTCCTTTTCTACCATCATCCTCTTTCTGCGACTGCCTCTAGTGAATGCAGGGTCAGTCCTTTGACAGCACTTGGAATAACCGGAACTCAGGCTGCTTGCCCAGCAGATCACGCCACAGAGAAGTTTTCTGGCCACCATGGACTCAAAGGAGGGTTTATTAACAGAACTGAAAACACTAGGAACACTACTAAACAAGCAGACTATGAGGGGTCAAAAAGCAAAACAAGGAAAAACAAAGACTAACTACAAGTGGATCAGGGCAACAAGGAGCAGGCAGGCAGGCAGGCAGGCAAAGTACAAATAACACAACACAGGGTAACTTCTAAGACTCTGAAAGACCTACTGAAAAGCACATGAAATACACCTAATGAGATAACATGACATCCAACAATGACCCACTAAGGCAGGAACTTAAATACAGAGGGATAACAAGAATAACGCAGGACAGGTGAAAACAATTAACAAGGGCTGGGAAAACAGGAAACAGGTGAATCTAATAAAACTAAACTATGAAACTCAAACTAGGAAACAGAATCTATCACAAGGGGAATAACAAAGACAGGTAAAACACAACCACGGGCACAAAGCAAAAAACCAAATACAAATCACAAGATACAAAAAACAGAGAAGGCAGGATTTAGACACACAACAGAAGAGTTAGTGGCCACACACTTAGCTCACTGAGCCATGCTGCAGTCAGAGGAGCAGGGGAAACACACTAAGGACTTTGACAACCGGGAGGACATGATGGCCAGCGACACCTGCTGGCCAAATGGGGAGAAGACATGAAAGACTAAGACAGACGGGTACTGACCCTGACAGATTTTCTCTTACTGTGCTTAGTCATCAAAGTCAAACATAGGAGTGCTTAAGATTCTGAAGTCAAGTTTACCTGGGGCTTGATTTTTTCGAGTGATCGGACCAAACAACACCCAGGATTCTTCCTTTTGCCTCATTCTCCCTGGAAAAAAATAATGTTGTTTGTTCAGTTGATAGTTTAATAGGTGGATTTCTCATATAGCCTTGGAAAGCTCCGGTCATTTACCGTAATCAAAGCTTATGACTAAACTTTCAGTAAATGACCTTTCCTGATGAAAACCCTTTGAAAATTTGAAAAGAGATGAGAAGGTACTAAACAATTATTTTCCTGTCATCTTGCCTAGTCACTCTAGTTTCCGCAATAATAAACAGGTGTTATATATGAGTCACATTACCTGTCAGTCATGTGTCTTTTGTGAAAATGCACTGCCAATCTGCTGATATGTCACATTCCTGCACATATAATCCTCCATTAAAGTATAATTCGGACATAATGCGGCTTGTTGAGAGGTATGGGCTCAAAATGCCATGTTCTGTTCGACCAAAGCTGCCACCCGAAACTTTGTGTTACACCAAGGATCCTCAACTATTTTCCCAGAGGGCTAAATTTCATTAGCAACACGATGCAAAGGCTGATGGCATCCAAAAATATTGTGGTCTTGTGACGATTGATGAATTTGCCGGGTGGAATGTGGGATCAATCGTTCCGGATTCATCTGTATTTCGATGATGTGGATTCGTAAAATATTCTGTTATCAAGGTGGTTTTATTCGTTTAGTATATACCTCACGTCTGCAAATGAGTTCTTTGTTGAAAGCATTAATTACAGTCATAAAACAATTCAGCTTGTCAGTCATCTTGTGCAGAAAACGTGAGGATGTCATTGTATATAAATTTACAAGAAGCATAGTTGCGACAATCTGGGCCAGATTAATGAATAGTCTGAGGCAAACATTAGGACCTCGCTCCACCTCCAGAAACATGCAACGGCTTCAATCAACAGCAGCTGACTGTCCATGCTGACGTCAACCTAGGGCCCCCTGATAATCCGTATTATCAATAAAAAAAATAAATATATTCAGTTGAATTACCTTAAAATAGGATGTTTTCTATCAGTTTGGGTCTTTAATTACAAGGTGTGGGAACCTTTGTATGAGACTGTTTTGGCGTAATGGCATCATTACAATACAGTGCTGAGTAACCAATCAGGCAGCACAGATCTGGCCGCCCAAGGGGCCACATCCTGAGGGGCTCCACCTCAGCAAACCGACAACAATGAAACTTGCCCACAGCACTACAGATTTGGGCCCCCACAGAGCCATAGCCAGAAATAAGTTTTAGGACGGCAACCATTCTGATAAGTCCCTCTTGTTAGATCGTGTCAGATTGTATTAGACTTTGTCCAATAATGCCTATATTATGCAACCACAGTTTCCATAATAATAATCTCAACTGCAGTGCCATATATAGTTATACACTCACCTAAAGGATTATTAGGAACACCATACTAATACGGTGTTTGACCCCCTTTCGCCTTCAGAACTGCCTTAATTCTACGTGGCATTGATTCAACAAGGTGCTGAAAGCATTCTTTAGAAATGTTGGCCCATATTGATAGGATAGCATCTTGCAGTTGATGGAGATTTGTGGGATGCACATCCAGGGCACGAAGCTCCCGTTCCACCACATCCCAAAGATGCTCTATTGGGTTGAGATCTGGTGACTGTGGGGGCCATTTTAGTACAGTGAACTCATTGTCATGTTCAAGAAACCAATTTGAAATGATTCGAGCTTTGTGACATGGTGCATTATCCTGCTGGAAGTAGCCATCAGAGGATGGGTACATGGTGGTCATAAAGGGATGGACATGGTCAGAAACAATGCTCAGGTAGGCCATGGCATTTAAACGATGCCCAATTGGCACTAAGGGGCCTAAAGTGTGCCAAGAAAACATCCCCCACACCATTACACCACCACCACCAGCCTGCACAGTGGTAACAAGGCATGATGGATCCATGTGCTCATTCTGTTTACGTCAAATTCTGACTCTACCATTTGAATGTCTCAACAGAAATCGAGACTCATCAGACCAGGCAACATTTTTCCAGTCTTCAACTGTCCAATTTTGCTGAGCTCGTGCAAATTGTAGCCTCTTTTTCCTATTTGTAGTGGAGATGAGTGTTACCCGGTGGGGTCTTCTGCTGTTGTAGCCCATCCGCCTCAAGGTTGTGCGTGTTGTGGCTTCACAAATGCTTTGCTGCATATCTCGGTTGTAACGAGTGGTTATTTCAGTCAAAGTTGCTCTTCTATCAGCTTGAATCAGTCGGCCCATTCTCCTCTGACCTCTAGCATCAACAAGGCATTTTCGCCCACAGGACTGCCGCATACTGGATGTTTTTCCCTTTGCACACCATTCTTTGTAAACCCTAGAAATGGTTGTGCGTGAAAATCCCAGTAACTGAGCAGATTGTGAAATACTCAGACCGGCCCGTCTGGCACCAATAACCATGCCACGCTCAAAATTGCTTAAATCACCTTTCTTTCCCATTCTGGCATTCAGTTTGGAGTTCAGGAGATTGTCTTGACCAGGACCACACCCCTAAATGCATTGAAGCAACTGCCATGTGACTGGTTGTTTAGATAATTGCATTAATGAGAAATTGAACATGTGTTCCTAATAATCCTTTAGGTGAGTGTATATAACATATACAATTCTATATACAATGCATGTATATGCATCTGCTATATCTTTTATGATATCTCTTTTGTACCTTTATCTAAAGGGAGGGTCAGTACACTCATTTGAAGAAATTAACCATATATAAGAAAGTCCATTAAATATTAAAAAAATACCATGTGTCATGACCTGCTCGTCCGATCCTCCTGTGTGTCACGCCCCCTCATTACCTACGCGTACTACCCCGATTGTGATCACCTGTTTCCTGTTATTTTCGGCTTGTCTTGTGTATTTAGCCCGCGTATGAGTCTGTTTTCCCCAGATCCGTCATTGATGTTCGTCGCCGTCTGCCCTGATCGTCCGAATAAACCCTCGTATCCTGCATTCTCGCCTGCCTGCCTCATCCTTCCCCGCTTCCTGCCTGTTTGCCACCCGTGGTCACAACACCATGGACTGTTACTTTTATTGCTCGTAAATGGGGCCTCTAACAGGCTGTCAGAGTGCAATGACCTATGAGCCCTTGAGCAAGGCCCTTAATTAATTTCATTCTTCTATGTTACATTGGACAAAAGTATATGCTAAATATAGACCATTACTTAATTCTGTAAATGTTTTTTTTTTTCTCATCATCACTGTCAATTGCAGCACCATATAAGTACACTCCTGCGTGTGACTCTCTGCCCGGAGTACCTAAAAACCTGCTTTAACTAGTCTAACCTGCTAACCTTTAAAACCTGCAGTAAACAATAGCAGTAGTGTGACGTTTACATGTTGTCATAATTTCAATGATTTTCGTCACATGTAGTTTTGGTCCATAGGCTGTTATAGGACAGGACTTAACATTTGATACATTCATTTGCAAAATCCAATGATTTAAAAAAAAACTGTTTCTGATGGAATCGTAAGCTGCAAAGTGTCAGCCTGCAATCAAGTGGGACGTACAGTGAAACAGGTATAGGTCTGAATGCGGAGAAACGTGTCCGGGCCAAGACCAAACGTGCCAGCGATTTTCCCCGAGTTTCACTCGATTTTCCACACTTCTTCCCGCTGTCCCCCCCCCCCACCGCAAATTTTCAGGTCCTAAAGTCGGCGGGTATGGCCAAAAAAGTCTGGGGCAAAATGGTTTATGTTAACAATATGAAAAAAGATCCGTTCGAATTAGCCATGGTTATGACGCCTGCACTGAAAATCGGGGGGGGGGGGTTGATTTATTTATCAGAAACTTCTGTTCCCTTCCTTCCTTGAAGCGAGTCCCTCTGAACGGGAAATTCCGTCGGCATTCCCACATAGCGTTACCTTGCGCGGTTACCTGGGTGCATGTGACGCCTACGTAAGCGTGTGGAGGTTAAAAACCCCCCCTCGCTGCCGAAATGCGACATAAACTACCTGTCAACAAGAAAGCGCAGGTGGACGGGAGTTATACAAAGGGCATATCCATTAGAAACAGGTAAATGCGCTCCTCTTAAAAGAGAACGGCAGAACTATCCTGAAATATGCGGTGCTCTGTTAAAACTATTTATTTATTAGATTAAAAAAAATGAAACTGTAATAACTACTAAGTATTTTATTTATTTATTTAATTACATTAAAGTCATTTTTATATATGTATATTGTGTATGTATATTTCTGTATGTCTTTACGTTTTTACATTTCTTTATGTATATATATATATATATATATATATATTAACATTTTTTTTATTTTCTGTCTACATTTGTATATAAGTATATAGTATAGGCCTATGTATATTTGATAGGTTTATGAATTATTTTTAACTTTATATGTATTATGCCGAATATTACATGGATATTTCTTACATTTATTAACATTTTTGTGTATACATATATTTTACATATGAATATTGCTTGCCGAGTTGTACCTGTTGGGCTCTATTCTAAATCAGTCATTTTTATACTGTAATTACCGTGTGGTATAAGCTGTTTGCTGAAGGAGATCCCTTTTCCTCTCTCAGGTACCGGTGTCCCAGCATGCAGCAGCAGAACGGCCACGAGGCTCCGCCCCCCCAGTTACTCTCCATGCCCCAACAGGACACCCAGCGGATCCTGGAGGTGTACGTCAAGCGCAGCCTGAGCCTCAACGATGGATCAGGCAAGAGCAAGACAGTCAGGACCAGAGTTCGCCGTTCAGCCACACTAATTGAGAGGCGAAACGGAGCGGGGAAGCATGAAACCTCTCGGTCTGCAAACCTGCCGGCCAGCAGAGCAGAGGCAGGACCTGCTCAGCCGGCTCCACCGGAGGCCAGCAAGCCCCCTGAAGCTGCTGCCCTGCCGGAGGCCAAGGCCAAGAAGAGTGGAAAGAAGAGCAAGAAGCACTCATTCTTTAGAAGCTTCCTCAACCTCTTCTCCAGGAAGACTGAGAAGAAGGAGGTGGCAGACCCTGAGCAAGAAACGTCAGGTGCCAACACTGCAAATCAGGGCTCCAGCACCACCCCTCAATCTGAAAAAAAGATATGGAGGAAAAGATCCATGAGGAAGCCCTCATTCAGGCGTCATGATAGCCAGTTGGCCAAGTTTACCCCTGTGAAAAGACCCACCAGCTTGGCCCTTTCTGACACAGCAAATCTCCCGAACAGTAAGATATCCTGCTTAATTTCCACATGATATTTTAATTAATGTAATTACTAGGGTGGTCGTTTACGTCCAGGGTTATTCTCTATAGATCCGTTAAATTTGCAGTTGTTTACCAATATTTTCTTCTTGCCAAATTTCTGTAGTGTCATTTTTTCATGATAATATAATACAAAGAGTTGACAGTGATTGCTGATGTTCCCCTGCAGTTGTGAGTGTGGAACCCACAGAGAAGTACTACGAGAAGCTATCAGAGGAGCTGGCTAAGATTGTGAAGGAAGTCAAGGAGACTCCAGTAGATGAAGGTCATGGGACTGAAATTAGGAGGTCAAAATCAGCTATAGGTAAGGAGCTTTTTTTTAATTAATGACCTTTGCCTTGTATTTTGGTGTTAAAAGAATGTTAACACACAACAAAAACATCTACAGAACAATTTTTGGGTTCCTTTCTGATGGGTTAATCTGAGAATAGTGGGGATTAAATTGACTTTAAGTGATTAAAGTATATTCAAATTATTGCAGCCCCAATGTGTTTTTTCACAAGTAGCAAGCTTAGATGTTAATTTGGCTTTGAGCAGTCAGATTGTGTATCTATAATCTATGGGTTATATTATACTACTTTGAAATAACCATTAAAATAATCAATTGAAATATGGAAATGGTTAGTTATTCTTTTTCCTCTTATTGTAACGGCCAGTTTTTGGTACCTTGTGCCCAGATAGCATTCATTTGCTTATGAAGAGTGTCTGAGCATTTTAAAGGTGAACAGCCTTACAGAGCATTTTATCAATAGGTTTGATCTGCGGACAGGTGGATTACCGCATTCTTTCTTGTTACAATGTCTTATCTCCACCATTTCAGAGAATGAAGCCATACAGAAGATTGTTTTACTGCTGAAACAACAGGGGGATATCATTGATGAAAAGGTTGGTGTTAAGATGCATGCGGAAAAAAACGATACTTCCGATTGTTTTCTGATATGAGTGTCCTTTTTTGAGTCATATTAAAGGCACAACCGAGAGAACTGTCTTTATGTGGCAGAGAGAGAGAGTGATTACTGATTTTAATTTTTCCTGTTTAATTGTTTTACTGTGATGCACTTTCCTGTATGTATTACTGGTGTTATTTTCTGACGATGCAACCTGTTCCTTACAATTAATAATTACAGCTATTAGAATTACCCTGTCATAAAAGCCAGTGTCTGAAAAGGTTTTTAATTTGATAGCCTCAGTTCCATCTAGGCAAGAAAAATGTAATATTGGTGCATTTTTAAGCCCTGGAGGACAAGAAACAGGTGCTGATAAGAACAAGACTTAAATAAAAACATATATGAATACAAAGCATGTAGCAAACATGGAGTACAAATGATTAGATTAGCAAATTAAGCAAATGTTTCTGTGCTGTAGTGGATGGATGGATTTCTGCTGTGTCTTCACAGTAGCAGAAGGTGCCATTCAGAAGACCCCCTGAGCATCGCAGAGACCCCTAACTGACTTCTCCCTTCCTTCCTCCTCAGCTGAAGGACAACACCAGCATGAACTCCATCTTCCAGGGACTCTCCTACAGCTCCTTCCAGCAAATTGCCGATCACTATGTGGAGACAGAGACCCCAGAGGTGCTCCCCCATGGCACCGGAGGCCCAGAGCTGGTCCGCTTCGCAATCACCCTTGACGTCACCGCCAAGATGGCCGGCCTGTCCAACCAGACAGTGGGACGCATCATGGGACTGGGCAATCAGTATCTCCTGCAACGGTTCACGCAGATGAGCATGAACTTGGTAAGAATTCAATTAAAGTGCATGATGATGGGCTGCCTGCCAACTAGCTTGTTTATGCAAATCTTTTTATGACTGGTTTTTTCCCTGTTATGGTTTTGCTGTCTTGAATTCCCCTCTACAAATGCCACTTGCGTAAGTCTTATGTTGAAGGGTTGTAAGTTTAGCTCAGATGCCATGATGCTGAATTACCGGTTATAGGTCATCTGCACGCAGACGTGTGGGTGGTTTAAGACTCTGTTTGTTTGTTTGTTGTGTTCTAGAGTTGTTATCGCTACGAAAACTAAAACTAAAGAAGACATTTCCATAAACTGAAACACAATATGAAAATTAAATTTTAAAAAATGTACAACTAAAGCTATTATTTCTAGAATATTACTTCTAGAATTAGCTGAAACAAAGATCAAATACTTTATCGTTTTTAATATTTTACTAAAATAATGATTTATCTTTATTACCATTAATGATACCTGGAACATGGATGTCGTACAGTATTATGTAAGGTGAATTTGTGTCATTAAAGATCAGACACATTCAGCTTTCAGTTTATCCTGGAAATTAAATGGCTAAAACTTAAACTGAAACTGAAATATATAGAAGCTAAATAGAAATATGTTTTTAAAATACAAATTAATAAAAAAACTAATGAAACATCAGTGAAAACTAAATAAAACGAGACTGGATTTTAACCGAAAGTTGTAAATAATGTAAAAATATCAACTAAATTAAAAAAATATAGAAACAGGTGTAACATGGAGTGAGTTTGAAAGATATTTCAAAAGTGTTTGTTGAGGGCACAAGAAGTAAGGCATGCTTGTGTTTTTTTTTTGGAAAATTGAATGTATTGAGTTGATTGTTTCAATACCTGATCTTTGATTATCTACTGGTTTTGCTGGTTTTAGTCAGTATACTTGATTGCAAATAGTGTAACTGGAACATTTAAGCAGCACATCAGTATAAATATCAGTAACAGCAGTAACTATGTAAGTTGTGCAGGAGGCGATGTGATGGTGTAGTTGATCATTTTCTTGTGCTTTTGTATTCTTGTAGGTATCTCAGGATTACAGTGGGCAGACACACAACAGCCTGGAATCACCGCAGTGAAGTGTATTTTACTACTGAGGGACAAACCCCACATCTTCACCTCTGTGAATTACAGTTTTAAGTCTTGAAACTGTCGAAGTATCACATCTCTAAGTAATCAGTGGTCTCACTATGGATCTTTTTGCTATGGATGTTCTACCATAGTCTTAAAACATGCAATTCTGCGTTCGTCAGTGCATGAATGCCGACGATCTGCATTCGCCACCATCCATGAATGGAAAGAAGAGAAAACAGTGATCTTGTCATCAGTCCTTATCAGTTCACACATTTCTTGGCACTGGAAAACTAAAAATATGGTATTTGCACATTTGCTACTTGGAAACATGTAGGAAACTGGGTAACCATGCAATATATTAGTTATATTGCAATGAATTTATTACAGTCTAACCTTTGTAATATACAGAAATATGAATTCCTAAGATTTGCAAAGCACACCATTCAGAAGGTGGGAAAACTGCATTCTGTTAAATATGAAACAGGAACTGAAGAATTTGCAAACCTGTTTGAGTAGGTTTATATGAACTAGCTGCATTTGACTGTATCTACTGGAGTACTATGAAGCTCAGCACTTTATGCCAACAAACATTGAAACTGTAAATTATGTTTTGTAAAGGAAATTATATATTTATTTATGAAATGTGTAAGGAAGATTTTGTACTGTTTTACTGTGAGCAATGCAATCACATTACCTGAAGACCCACTTTTACTGCTAGTAAAAGTGTTATAATAATTGAAATTGTGTGTTAGCTGTAAGACCTCTGAAAGTGTTACAATAAGAGAATTGTTTACAAAAAAAATGTCAATCTAAATAATCAGGATTAAATATTTCTAAATCCAAAGGTCGGTTGGTCAGGCTCAGGTTTATGGAACGGACGGATGTATGCTTTTTGATTGGTTAGTCAAATAACCGAAGCAGGCTCAGTAGCACTTTTTGTCATGGTGCTTTTATTGAGAGCTCTTAGAAGCAGTGGGGTCACCATCATTGCACAGGCACTGTGGTCACATGACCTGTCTTTGTGTAATCACATGACCTTTGCTGGAGCTGTCCCACTATATCTCACAGCAGGTGGCCAAATACTGGAGAAGCGGCTGGCTAAAGGGAGGGGCTGATAATTCGCGTTGCTCTTTGGGTGCGGCTGGTTCACCTTGCCTTCGTCACCGTCAGAAACATCTCCTGCAGACCGCCAAGCTCATGTCTACTCAATGGTGACACCATCCAGTTGGTGCAGGATGATGTAGCTCCTAGGGCTTTTCCTCGCCTTCATCTGCAGTGGTCCCCCTCTCATCATAAACATTCTCCAGCTCCAAGAAGGAGACGCGTGGAGAAGTGCCATAACCTGGCTGTCCCCCATTCCCCATTATCTCTGCTTCTACCTCAACGTCTGAGTTAAACTCCACCTCCAAGAGAATGGGCCTGGTGTTTGGCAGGAGGGGGGTATTTGGCTGACCACCCACCCCCAGGGCCAGGTTGAAGAGAAAGGAGTAGCTTATGGTATCAGTGATGGGGTGAACAGGAGTGTGGAGGCCAGGTGTGGAGAGCTGCATGTGCAGCAAGGACCGCTGACCCACCAGGTTGGTCTGGTCAGAATGTTCCTGCTCTGCCAGGACGCTTGGATCTATGGCACAGGGAACTGGGACCCGCAGCCTGGGGGGTGGGGGAGCAGCAGGAAAACATTCACAGTGGCAGGTGACATGAGGAGAAAGAGCCGGACTTGTACCACTTCTACAAAATTACCATAGTAATTGTGTTTTGGTTCATCAAGTTTGATAACAGGTTCCATACCCATGCAAACAGGAGGAGGCGACATTGATTGCATTCGGGACAGTCTGCCTTAGGCTCCGCCACAGGCAAAGGGCACATTCTGGAAGCTTACTCAGCCGCCAGAGTATCCTAAAAGGGAGGGAGACCCACCTCCAAGCACGCACAAACACACTTTCGACATGCACACAAACACACGCACGAGAAACGCCGCACAGACAGGCAAAACCGCATGGACACACACGCAACGCAGAACTTTAGCAATTTTAAGCACCAAGACCTTTCTACTAAAGAAGAACAGAACTAGAGAAGGGAGGATCTCGGTTCAATTCCCAAGCCGAATAAGATATAATTAAAGATCCAAAGATGATTTATTTGGTACCTGTGGCTGGCAAAGATGAAGATGGTGGCTGGAAGCATGTAGGGGAGAAGCATGTAGGACAGGAGCCGTGCTGGGAAGCTGTTGTGGATCCCAGCTAGACCCAGAGGTGCTACAAGGTTGCATAGCAATGCTGCAACAACAGACGTCAATGAGTGCAGATGACCTATAACCGAGTTTTTATCTCACTCTACGTGATTTTTCAATGTGTTCTGTGAATCCAGTTAAACCATTTAGTTGGTTTTTTCAAGTCTTGAATACTTTGTTGTTGTTCTTTTTGTCACCTTCTTTATGTTAGAGGTGTGGCTAAAGTTTAGCCAAACTAGCCAGACTAAAAATACTAATGTGTCTGAACAGTAGCTCCCCTTTTGGGAACAGGCTAAGGCTCTTGCTGACAGTTGGAGCCATGAGTGTTGGAGGCTTGCCCTCTGGCTGTGCTGTGTCATCAGGCCCTTGCATGCACGGGCAACGTTAACATACCTCCCTGTATCCATGCAGGCAGACTGAGGTACACGGCCTGTTCCACGGCCCTCAGACTCCAGCACAGGTTCTCCAAGCCCTGGTAGGGCTCTTTCAGCATCTCCAAGTCCTCCTTCCCAATAGCATCCTTCAGTTGCTCATGCCCTGGCTTCATCTCTTCCTCTCTCTTGTCTTCCTCTAAGATGGCTGGGGGAGCTGACCGGTTTGCTGGTGAGTGTGGGCAGTCCATGTCATTGCTGCTCCATCAAGTCTGAAACAGGGCCCCACACATTAACAACTTGTTCTCTGCTGTACCATGAGAGATATGGTTCTGTCCACGCTGTTAGCGCCCCCTAGAACTGTTGGGATGAAGAACTGTGCTCAAGGTCACACTGATGAAATTACTCTGCCAGCCTTGGGATTTAAACCAGCAACCTTTCGGTCACCCAAGAGTATCAGTCATGATGTCTTGCTGGTCTCCGTTTCAATGGAAAGTGCTCTGATGATGATGAAGATGATGAAAACCCTTTATTGCTGTTGCAATACACCATGTCACTAGTCACAAGTACCAGCAAAAAAACACTGGCCATCAACCTGACCATACTGTACATATACAAACATCACATTTATAGGGGGTAGACAGGTCAGGAAGACGGGGGATATAGGAAGAACAGAGAAAAACAGAATTACATGAGGAGAGAGGAGGAGAATAAAAAAACAGCCCCCAGACTGTACTCCAGTAGGGAGGACATTGTAGGAACCGAAAAAAAAAAACACCGCAGCAACATAAACACATGGTCACTACACCTTACAGCATAAAAAGTCGTGACTTGCAACAGGGGAGGGAAATGGGGAGGTGGAGGGAGTCCAGCAACATTTTCCTTGCTGTCCAGAACTAACACCCGCAAAGAGTGAACTGAGCGATAAGCCACACAGAAAAACATGCTTCAGTACCTGGCCCCTAGCCGGGAGAGACACTTGCCTGATATCTTTATGTCCCCAAGCCAATGGCAGAAGGAAGCTAGAGCAAGCAGCAGCTGATGGCTTCGTGGCTCCAGCCTCAAAACCCCCCAGGTGCAATGCATTTACAGCACGTGTCCTGGATGTGACATCAGTTAGCAGGCAGGCAACTCGATCAGGGACAAACATCACCACCTCTCTGAGCGCTGTGGCTGCTGTGGGAGGACATAAACAAGGGAATACTGCCATCTATGGTTCTTTCAGTGGGACTACATTTTGAATATACAGTACATGTATTTACTTACGATACGTCGCTGATTTGGACAGCTGATTGATTCATCTCGCTCGTGTAATTTCAATCTGATGTTAAACAAATGAACTATTCACAAAAAAATACAATTAAAATCAATAGAGTGCGTTTTATAAATATACCTCACACAATTTTGTCCTGTCGTAATAATCACCGTAAGACATAGTACAGGTAAAGTGTGTGTTTTTTTGCTAACAATCTCTCGCCATAATTTCGTACGCCAAAGATGTGCTTTTGAAAAGCTATTTTGAGATTATGTGCCACAGGTTACGAAGCCAGGGTCGGCCATTGTGCCCCCCCAAATGCCACCCACCAAGGACACTGTGACCTTTTAAAATTATTTTATCCATCCATCCATACATACATTTTCCAACCCGCTTATCTATTTTATTATTACTTGTCATGTTCATCCTAAAAGAAATAAGTCCAGTTGTAGGGTTATTTTTGTGGCTATGGATTGTCTGCTTACCCAGTGCTCCCTTTTACTGTTGCCAACCCCACCCCGTCCTCATACCAGATCTGTTCTGGCGCCGGCACTGTTCAAAGCATGTGTGAGTTTTTTCACTACCATCCGATCCAGCACTGGCTGTTCTACCAACAATGGTGTCAGAGTACTTTTTTAGATACAGCCCTTTATCATGTACGGACGGGACGATTGGCGGTGTGCTCTGGGCGAGCCCCTTCGCCGTCGTTTTTCTGTCCTATGGGGGCCTGCGTGTCATTGTCACCGTCACAATGTCGATGGTGACACTTTTTATTTTGACAATGACTGAATTAATTTTGTTTTGCTTACCCTTCAAACCTCAGTGACACTTTGAACTCCCAGTCAGAGCACAGGGACAGGGCCATACCCCCCGTTATCCCTAAATAACTCGTAAGTTTTTATAGCCAATATAAAAATTTGTTTTGGCAAACATGGCGCTACTCCCGCAGCATGGGACATATATTGGAAGTTCAGTCTAGATTCACTTCTGCCGGGTTGGCTCCTTTGTATGTACTAGAAATATAAATGTATAAATATAAATGTCAGCGAGTGGCATTATGGGACCAGGCAGGTACAGGCGCTCCTGAGCACAGTCAAGCAATTAGCGGCGTTAGACAATAATCTCCACTCCCGTTTTAACCTTGAGAGTTAATCATGTTCAGCTGATGTCCCATCTGGTGCGAGATCATCTTAAGCCCCTCGAGCTCATGGAACCCCCTCAGATTCCATCCCCGCAGTGGTCTGACGTAAGGCTTTCCTAACCCAGCGCACCCTATTCTGAACTTCATTCTCTAGCATTTTAAACTGAAGTCCCTTTGTCTCCCTCTGCTGGTGAAGTATTTTATCAAATATTTTGTTTCTTGATCAAATAACTAAAATACAAATAATATACATGCAAAAATGAACAGCCAGGGTGAATATAACAACTTACAGTCATGGCCAAAAATATTGGCACCCCTGCATTTATGTCAGAAAACACACCACTTCTCCCAGAAAATTGTTGCAATTACAAACGCTTTGCTATTGTCATATTTATTTCTCTTGTTGGCACTGGAGGAACACAAAAAGCAGAGGGAAAAAAAACAAATCTGAGATATTCCACACAAAATGTCAAAAATGACCTGGACAAAATTATTGGCATCAATTATCATAATTGTAAGAAATTATTGCATTTTGAGCAGGTGATGCTCCTTTCAACTCACCTGTAGCAATGAGGACCTCGCTGCTGAGACAGAAACATAAAAAAGCCAGATTGGAGTCTGCTAAAACCTACCTGTGGAAGCCACAATCCTTCTTGGAGAATGTCCTCTGGACAGATGAGACAAAAAATCGAGCTTTTCAGTTATATCATTCCTTATGTATGTGAAACTTCCCTAATATAATCAATAGTTGTACCAATATTTTATCAAATCAGTTTCCTCAGAAGAACGTCATCTAGCATCACACCCAGGAATCATCCCCAATTCTGATGGACATTTTGATCATGTCTTTATGAATGTTGCTTTGTGCACTGGGGCACAGTCATGCTGGAACAGAAAAAGGCCTTACTCACCTGGTCCCACAAAGTTGGAAGCATAGAATTGTCCCAAATGTTGTGGTATACTGAAGCATTAAGAGTTCTCTTCACTGTAACTAAAGGCCAATTCAAACATCACTTTTCCATGTGTCCTTTCGGTTGAGGGTGAGGAAACGTGATGTAAATTTTGTTATCTGGGGCTGGCTGCAGATGCGGATGCACTTGTAGTCCTCTTTTTATGTCTAATGGAAACCAAGCGCATCACAGAGTATCGAACGTGCGTGTGAAAGGTAACTGATTAGGTATTGACAGTAGGTGGCAGCGTGGACTTTTACAGTCACTGACAAAATAGTAGAGGAGGAATAGTTGTTGTAGATGTTAGGGTGAGCAGCTGTATGAGGAAGGTTGGAGACACCCGCATGTCTAATTTGTCATACTGTCCAGACATTATACCAAGGTATGTTGCACTTTAAAAAGCAGCACTATTGTGGCATTTTGAAATCTTGTCAATAAAATTTGTCGAGAAGGTGGAGGTGGGAGGGGATGGAAAAATCCACGAATGTTGGTCTTGCCCGGCACCAAATATCAAGGATGCATTAGTTGCATCCTCGCCAAACAAGACCAATCCCATGATTCATTGCTCCCCAGGTTTATTCTTAGGAGGCAAGTTAGCAAGCCCAGTCTTACCAAGACCACAAATACAATCTTTGCGTTCTTGGTATTGAGAAACACCCAATGTATCCATGATACTTAGGACGGGGCAAGAACAACATCCAGGGATTCCTGCCATTCTCTGTACTAGGGATGGAGTGATGGTTCTGAGGCTAGGGATCTATACTAGCAACTAAAAGGTTGCTGATTCAAATCCTGTGTATGCCCTGATTGATTCTACTCCATTGGGCCCTTGAGAAAGATCCTTAACCTGCAATTGCTTTGTCCTGGGTATGATGTTAATCTACATCCAGCCCTATAAGGAGGCCCTCCAACTTTCAGGGAATAATATGGGGGTTGGTGGCAGGATTGGCACTCCAGCCACTGGAAAAAACCTCACACTGGTCCATTTGGACTAGCATGGTGCTGAGGTATCACCCGCCACATGGCTGCACTCAGATTCTCATCCCTGAGGTAGTTTGTCGTGTGGTGGCTGTGGCAATGCGCTGTAATCAGCACATGCTCCTTTCCACTCTCTTTACTTTTGTTCTGAGTATTGGATCTGGTCTTTGGCAATGGAAGATGACATAAAACGGGAACACATGAACACAAGTACGGTCAAATATGCATGTTGAGAAACACCCATTGTGCTGCTACCGTGCAGTTAATGCGGCCGCTGTGGGGCAGGGAATGCGCCGCATTTCTGAGACACGTCTGGTGTGTTGCTAAGAAACGAAGCTTCATTTCTAAAGATCACATGACAAAGTGGTTTCTAGTGAGTCTCTGGAGCATCTCTTACAAAGAGTGCTGAGACCAGTCATCCAGCAACCCATCCCTACATTTAAGGTTGCTACAGTTTGTAATCATGGCAGTTTAAAATACAGATAGATAGATAACTATAGATCAAATATTTTGGGTGGTTTCTTGTGCATTTTGGTGGTTTTTGAGCAGTTTTTGGGCTGGAAGCCATCAGCTGTATCTGGCAATACTGAAAAAGCGACAAGCGGTTTTTTCAGAGGTCCCGTCAGATGGGCAGATGATTCCTTTAGTTTAGAAAAGTTGTAGTCATTAACTTTACAACACTTGCCTAAGTGAGAACAAAATAGCCAGCTAGCTACCACATGTGATTGGCCCTACAGTATGTCATACTGTATAGCCTAAAACACAATGGGCTTCAAATGTTATTAACATACTGTTCCTAACTGAAAAAATAAAGAGTGGGATTGGCACTGTGCGTGCACCTCATACCAGAGCTGGTGCTGATGCGTGGTATTTCACATGATAACGAAACAGCTGCCAACTTACCAAACGTGCTTTCAGCACCCCTACTGATTATCATTTCAGTAGGTAGAGGAGAATTTTCAGTTAATTTAGAAATTGGGTAATTGCATATAGTTGGATACTGTTGCTGAAACTGTCCATTAGCAGGTTGCTACTAATGGGTATCATTGACCTGATTTAGTATTATTTTGTCTGTCTGAAACTAGAATTCATTATCATGTTCGTTAGGAGTGTCTTTTCTTGTGTTGACCCTGTGAAGCTGGGCTGGTCTGTATAATGTCACCCCACTGGTGAAATACAGCCCCTGCATACAGGCATGTTTGTCCGTGTACGAACAGGTTCATGATCCCTGATAATACTAAAACATCACTTTTCCGTGTGTGCTGTCGGTTGAGGGTGAGGAGAAGTGATCTAAATGGAAAAAGAACAGAAGTTTAAGTATTGGTTCATTTATCTTTTATGAGGAGTTTAATGCGTTGCATGTTAATTTCAGTGCTCAAAATCACACAGTAGATAAACTTTACAAATACTAACCAGGATGTTTAAAGTATGTGGCACCGAATTGCTCATGAAACAAGTCAATGTCATTTAATATAATTCATCATCAGCACTAGCAGGAACAAGTCGTGCCTAAAATAATGCATGGTCCATTTTCATTATTTCGCATCTCTAGTTTGCTCCTCGATTTGTTATTTTGAAATTGCATTTGGAAAATGCCTTCAAACATCTAAAAGAATTAATTTAATTAATCTTTTGAATGCTGCAGCAAATCATTATATATTTCCCAATTTTTGGCAGTACTTTTTATTGATGCCCTAAATGCAGTGAGAGAAGAAGGGGGCGAAATGCCAGGTTAGACCGAGTCACACCCATGGTCTTCGAACCCCATTTTATAGTTCATTCAGCTCCTTTTCCTCTTCACTGATGAGGTAGGAGACCAAGTCCAGCACAAACTTGTACACCTTCTGCCAGTTCGTCACATACCACATCTTGTAGACTGCCTCCCCGGCGAATACCAGTAGGAAGACTGCGAGGAAGAAGAGGAAGATGCGGTCTGCGTGATGGGCGAGCTTCTCCTTGAAGGTGCGTTGGGACCAGGGGAGAGTCGCCCGAACCTCGCTGTAGCGACTGAACCGCAACAACACGTCCTCCTCCTCCCCAGCTAGCTCCCCCTGCACCTCCAGCTCCCTCTCCTCCTGCCTTTCATCCTGATCCGGCATCTTCATTCCCACCTTTACCTGCTTTTCTTGTCTCCTCACTGCTTCTCTGTCTGCTCCGTCGGTTTCCAAACTTTAACAGAAGCTGCCAGCAGAAGTTGTACTTAAAAACAAAAATTCATATAGAAGAGAAGGTGAAGGGGTGAGTTTAAGTGCTTTTCAGCTCCTCGAGTCTCTGCTTGATTCTGAAGTCTTCTCCGTTGGACCCAAAACCTTCGCAGATGTACTTTAAGTCACCTAAACTGTGATTGTTTGGGTTCAGTACCAGAGAACAGGCCTGATTTTCAAATCGATCATGTGGGATTATTGGTGCTCGAGCCACATCTTGCAGATGGGTTTGCGCAAAGTTCTTCTGTGTCTTGGACTCTGAGTACTGGGCGCCTGGACAGGAATGAGCCCCTGAGACTGACCCCAATCCAGCGGCTTGCTAATGAGATGAGGGCCCAAGCCACACACTCAGCAGATTTCAATCCACCGACGGATACAAGGGATTGAAGGAGGAGCCGCCAGATGGTGTATGGAGGGTGAGACAGTGAGGGATGATCAGGAAGCGTGTGCCAGACAGTGATGATGAATAAAGACAGCCGACACGTCCTTTAAGGTGGCAAACCGCTACAGGTGAAATTAAGATCAATGCCAGTGGTTATTGATTTGGAAATATATTTCTTGTTTTTCATATATTGTTCCTTAAAACAATGTAACTGCAGGATTCAAAGCAATATTTTCATACTTGTATTTGATGGTTCTGTATTAGGTACAGTGGTACATCAGTTCTCGAACTCATTAGAACTGGAATTTCTTAAATGTAGAACCAACCAGCTCAAAAAAGGGGGCAGGGGGCTGTAATTTACTTTGGAATGGTGAACTGGAAGGTAATATGAAAATGGTATGATGGGAACACACTTTAGTAGATATTTATACCTCTGTGACCTGATGATTCTTCAGTCCAATAACATTGGAGCTGTATTTCCTGTATGAAGAAGTCGTGATGTGTTTGGGAGGAACAGCTGCTAGATACGTTCCATGAAGAAATTGCAAATTGGCTTTGCTTGTTACAGTTGGGTGTCTTTGGAGACAGAAGGCTAATTAAACAAAGTCAGAGCCCTGGTGTCATTGGTTGGGCCTGAAAGGTCAGAGGTGATTGGCTGGGCAGTATCGGAATCACTTTTATTCACCAAGGACATTAGACAGTAATGAAGGAACGTGGTGTTACACGTAGGATCCCGGCAGGAATTTCTTTCATGATTCGCCAGCACAAACAAGTCCCTTTGAAAGGAGCACTGGTTTGAGGCAAACAGCTACAGCGCCCCCCCCTTCCCCTAACACTCAGCTCCTGCCCCATTGTGAGTAGCAATGTGCCCAACGTTAAGCAGACTCTGGCTTGTGATTGGCCCAAGAGCTGCCTCCCCATACCACAAGAAATGTCAGATTGTTCAGTAGTGGCAGTCAGACTTCAATCTTAAATCTTTTTTATTTTAATTTTTAAACATATTGAATCTGAAGCGCCCAGAATGAATCCTTAGTGACATGGCTCAAAATTTCCATTAGCTGAAGGTGTGTGCTGTACTTCGTCATGATTCTGCCACCTAGTGGCCATTTTAAGCACTACAGCTCATGGCAATTCAAAGAGAGCAGCGTATCACCTGTCATCTGACAGGTCGCTGACAGGATCACCTACATACCCAGGGCAGTTTAACCTCAAGGAGAGACAGAAAGATGGAAATCGATGATGCCTGCACTCTGGAGGACAGCCTTAACCGGTGTTTTTGGAGTATGATATATGATTTGCATTCTGGCACATTCAGGAACAGCCAGTTCTGTACGTGCTTTATGGCTAGTCCTTTAGACACACACTGCATAGTTTATTCATTATCTGTCCATTTTTTTTTTATGCAAAATTTTTATATCTGGCCCAAAATAAATCTATAGTATCACTTTTTTCATAATTGACCACTTGTTTCATTGTGTTTTCTTATTCAACCCTATATGTTATACACAATTTTTTTTCTAAGTCCTGTATTGTTGTGAATATTATAAAATGTCCAGGCATTCTAAATGACCATGTACCTCAGCTGACTGATACAGGCACCATTTTTAATGCCTACAACACATGTACAGCACAATTTTTGGTAAAAATTGTAGTGGCCCCCCTACTGTGATGGGCCCCCTCTGCTACCAACGTGGTGTTCTATTTGAACTTGTAACTCGGAAACTCTGAGTTCCTAGTTGTAAATTTCAACAGGAACACCCCCTGACGTCGGAATTCCTACTCGGAAAATCCTAGGAATCTACACAATCAGAACCTCACAATTCAAGATGGCTGTGCCGTTTACCAACAACAACAAGTTGAAGTGACTGTGTGTGACTGTGTGCCCTGTGATGGACTGGCATCCCATCCAGGGTGCACCCTGCCTTGTGCTCTGTGCTGCCCAGGATAGGCTCTCAGTCCCTTATTACCTTGTAGTGTGTTGAGTGCTTGGATGGATGGATGGATTGACGTTATTGCTATTTTCATGCTTAACAACAAAAAAAACAACCCCCAGGCAGAAGGCTAAAAATAGCAGCACTATATAGTTTTGGTTGTGACAACTGATATAGAAACAAGCTTGAGGCTAAATTATGTCACTCACATGTCACGTCTTACTAGGGCCAAGTTTTCTATTTTAATTTCAGTCAGAGGTCAAATTTCTGGAAACCTCATTTCAGTAGTTTGTTGCATGGTCCTCAGTCTATGTCGTACTCACTGGGAGAATAATACTGCCTTCCTATGCGGGATGAGCCCAGCCTTCTGTCCTCTCTGTTAGCCTAATTTTATGTTGCTTCTATCAAAAATGTCTGCTAAATAAAAGCACAGGCTCCAGACTCTGTATTAGATAGTCATAGAAGAAAGATGGATGATAGCATTTCATCACATCATTTATTTAGCAGTTTTTGTCCAAAGTGAGACAGATAGTACAGCACTAGCAAAATGTTTTTTCACAGTGATAAAGTCTTCCTAACCATCGAATCCCCAGGTCGTCTCTTTTTTTCAAGGCAAAGTTTGCATTATTAAAACTTTAAATCTAAAAATTAATGCTTTTACAATGCCTTATTTAATAATTTTGTTTTTACTGTTATAATAGTGTCTTTATCCATTTATACTATTCAATATCTACCAATAATTGTATTTTTTGTGGTGTGTATTAGGGATGCAACGGTACTCGGTAAAATACCGGACCGTTCGGTACGCGCTGCACGGTCCAGTACGCCCTTGTGTACCGCGGTATTTCGGTTTTTGCACTTCTTTTGAAAATGGCGATTAATGCTTATCAGGCTCCAGTTAAACAGTAAGCGCCAATGAGCGAAAGCCCTCCACCGTGAGTTAATGTCCAATCACTGTTGTGGCTCCACCCACTCGCCCTCTCACACTGACGTAACTGGAACTGAGCTCGCAGCTCGGTACGCAGACGCAGAAAAAAAGAAAAACAAACAAGTATGGCCGGCACTAGCGGAACAGTTGAGAGGCAGAAGTTTGAAGAAGCACCGGCTTCGTACAAATGTCCAGTATGGATTTTTTTCGGGTTCGATGTAGAATACAACGACCAGGGAGTCAAAACAGTTAATAGAAATGTCACTGTTTGTAAACATTGCTTAACACGTGTCCCATACGCTAATGGAAACACGAGCAATATGGCTAAGCATCTCAAGCATAGTCCTGCTGATATAACGGTTCCTGAACGGAGGACAGACGAAAAGGTAACTGCAGGTAAACAAGTGTCTATCGGAAAAAGCTTTTCAATTAACAGACATACCCTGCCACATCCGGTAAACATAAGAAAATAACCCGTGCAGTGGGAACATTCATTGCTAAAGATTTGCAACCCTTTTCTGTTGTCGAAGATGCGGGGTTTTGCCACTTAATTAAAACGCTCGACCCACGTTATGTTGTGCCCTGCCGTACACATTTCAGCGACGTTATAATTCGACGACCTCTATGACAAAGCGCGCAAAGCCATCGAAAACGATTTGGCTCAAGCACAGAGCCTCGAGTGGAATATAGAGTGTTTAGAGCACTTTAAGAGGCACTTTAACATTTTTTAAAGTGTTTTTGTTTACATTTTGTAAGTTTGAATTTTATACATGTATAGATATTTTATACATAAATAAGAGGCAGTTTATTATTTGTTTTCTTGTGTTATTTGTAGTGTTGTATTTAAACCGAACCGAAACCGTGGCCCAAATACCGAGGTACATACCGTACCGTGGGATACCTGTACCGTTGCACCCCTAGTGTGTATGTATATATGTGCATATATCTAACTCAACTTGGTTTACTGAACATAAGCTCGAGCAATGAGTACCCAGACGTTGATTTCTTTTTAATGTTTAAAAATGTTTACAATTTTTGCCGTCTTTTACCAAATGTTTACCAAATTAGATTTTACTGCATGCATTTTAAAGTCTCGTTCTATATCTGACAAACTATAAGACACTTTTATCATTAAAACAACTGCTGGCTAAGAGCCTGTAAACAAATCACTGTCAGTGATGAGCCACTATTCATCTGGAAGGCACATTTAAACAAGCTTAGAACAACAAAGATTAATGCAGTTCATGTTCTCTGGCTGCACAAGGATAATTTTTTTTCCATGATAAGTGACAAGAAAAGACAAAAAAAAAAAAAGGAGTCAGCTAGCTATTTATGCAAGCGGAGGTGAGGATTCGCTGTTTTTGACCCATGGCAGATGGACTATTAAACTGAACTTTGGTTTGCTCTGGAAAAGTCCATCCTGTTACACGCCTCAGCAGCCGTGACATCAGGTCATGTGTGTAGCTTGCATGAATTTACTTAATTTACACCCTTCAGCTTTTCCTATGCATGGTCACCCCAACATCGCCCCCTGCAGGTTGGCGGCGGACTTCTCAGCTAGCGGCGGGGGGCTGGCCCGAATCCCGAAGGGTGCGCACCGGTGACAGATCTGCACAAGGGTGGTGCGGAAGCGCTCGATGCGGAACGCGTAGACGAGAGGATTGACGGCGGAGTTGACATGCGATAGGAAGATGCCCAAGTACATGACGCCCTTGGGCACGTGGCACTTAGGGCAGAAGTAGAGTATGCAGTTCATGATGTGCAGCGGCAGCCAGCAGAGGGCGAACAGGAGCACCACCAGGCCCAGCGACTTCGCCAGCTTCAGCTCCTTGTTGAAGTATTTGCCGGTGTCGCTCGTCGCCTCCGCTCGCTTGCTCAGCTGCCGCCGGATGATGCGGAAGATCTCGGCGTACAGGGCGACCATGATGACCAGTGGCGCCACCACCCAGCCGAAGAAGTTGAAGTAGACCATGTAGTCCATGCTCATGACGGCAGTGAAGGTGCAGGCGATGGCGCCGCTGCTGAGGTTCCGCGGTGGCGGCTGGTTGTGCCAACCCAGCAGTGGCACGGCGCCCGTGAGCGCCGACAGCAGCCAGCACACGCAGACGGCGAGCCAAGCGCGCGGGTGAGTCACCACCAGGTTGTACCTACGGAATGTCGCATTTGACGTTGTCAATGACGCGCCATCGCTATGTAAAGCACCGCAAGTTCTAATTTCATGTTTACTATACTGATGAGTGGTATGGTGGCTCAGTGGGCTCAAATCCCCACCACTGCTTGTGTGTGTGTGTTTCTTTGTCCTCATTTGGTGGGGGTTTCCTCCCACAGACCAAAGGCACATTCTTCGGTGAACTGGTATCTCTGAACTGCCCATCGTGTGTGTGTGCCTTGAAATGGACTGGCACCCCATCTGGGATACTGCTTGGAATCAGCACCAGACCTCCCTTCCCCAAACCAGACCTCCCTTCCCAAAACCTGTATCAGATAAGCAGCTGGAAGATGGATTGATGAAACCATGTAACCATGGTACAAAACAAACAAACAAACATCATGCTAAATTCTTTGCATGCTTGCATTCAGAATCAGACTCGGATTCTCTCCAAATGGATTTTGTAATTATGTTTCCGATAAAGACAGCCACCATGAGTTGTGTTACAGAAATGTGCAGACGCTGTCGTTCCTTGAGTTGCTGAGTGAAGAGATCGGTCCATTCGTTGTCTTTTCATTCTGCATAAGCGGTCCTGACTGGCTGACACCCATGATGAATTGGGATGCTAAGGGGCCTCAGCCAAAAAACGCTTTGCAGTCCACTTTAAAAATGGCTCCTTCCCACAGACAGGAGCTTTTTAATTTGCTTAAAAGGTTTGGCCGCCCACTTCATTGATTTGCATTAAAGTAATACATGCTTGACCAGCAGGCTTCGGAGAGAAATTCAGAAAATGCATTTCAAGAATTCTAGGTAGTACAACTAGTTTATTTCAGGATCTTTGTTCACAAATGATAAATCTGTTAACCACCCATTTATACATCCAGCTTCCCACTGCTTATCCTGGTCAGGCTCCCCTGCAAACCTGGGTTCGACCCCAAGCAGCACAAGCAGGTCTCTCCCTGGACAGGATGCCAGTGTGATCCTATTATCATACTATTATAGATATTTCCATCCCAAGAATCCACTGACAGTACATTTTTCATATTTTTAATATTTGTAATGGCGTCAAATCTCTTCATTGGTCAATAAAACGACTTTGGAATTAAATTGCATTGTGGGAAATTCTGTCCAAGCAGCATGCACTAAATTAAATTAGGAATCAACTCAGAGTGAGAAACGTGCAACGTCTCTCAAAGTCTTTGTGCGTGCACTCAATGTGTAATTTATATATTTAAACAGTATATAAACCAATGTTACAGGGGCATTTTTTTGTAGGATATTAACATAGATTTCCTCATTTTTACTTAAGAATTTACCGCATCAAAAGATCTTTTATGCTGTGGACATTTGGGTTGGTTAAATTTCGAATTGTTTGATTTTAAATAATCCCCCCATACTTTTAGCATTCACCTGCTCAAATATTTTGACAGGTTTCCAGACCTTTCTCTAAACCTGAACCACCAGCCCCCTAACCACGGCGCCACCTACAGGCTGGTGCGCTCACCTGGTGGGGATCCTGACGCGCAGATAGCGGTCGACAGCGATGGCCAGCAGGGAGAGGATGGAGCTCTGGGTGAGGGCCAGCAGGAGGCAGGAGAGAGTGAGGCAGGTGTAGAAGTGCGTCTGCAGCCCCAAGCTGACCACCACGGCCAGCGGGATGACCAGGGCGCCCACGGCGATGTCGGCCAGCGCCAGCGACGCGATGAAGCAGAAGGTGGTGTCGCGCAGCGCTCGGCTGTAGCTCACCACCAGCACCACCAGCACGTTGCCCAGTACGGCTGCCAGGGCCACCGCCGTCTCCGTGGAGATGTAGAGCACGTCCAGGTGCTCGCGAGGCACCGAGGAGCCCCGCAGCGGCGACATGAGGGCCTCGAGCTTTCTGGCCCCTGGTCCACCTCCCTCCACCCCCAGCCGGTCTGCTCAGTGCAGGAACGCCTGCGCCGCCTCTTCCTGCACGATGCCGTCTGCGCTCCCAGACATCCTACTCCGCAGACAGGACCAGCTCCATCGTGCCCCCCCGCTTTGGACAGACTGCTTCGCCCGGGGAAGGTGCAAGCTATCAGCTACCACCCCCCAGCCCCCATCCTCCCCCCAGCCTGTGAGCCACCCCCCCCTCGCCTAACCTTCTCCCTCTTCAGCTTCCAACTCCCCCCCTTGCTTTCCGCTCATTGGTGCACAGCATTGATAGGTGGGGGGGGTCAGACATGGTATACGATGTTGAGATGAATGGGAGGGGCCTGCAGCTTTCTGCAGAGTCCCCCCCCCCTCCCCCCCATCAAGTTTTGGAGCCAAGCATACAGCAGAACGGCTCTGGCTCATGCAAAACACAGAGTCCTTGCACGGGACTCCGACAGGTGACTGCAGCGCTGCCCGGGACAGACTGCACTCTACATGATACATCCCATAATCAATCACCACAAGTGCTGTCTAACTTTTCCTATTGCCATTTGATTATAATATCAGATCATTCATCATAAAAAATGTCATCCAAATGCTCCTAGAGAATCTTTCACATATACAGAGTATCTAATAATATATATTGTATATAATGTGTGAAACTAAGAAAAATTCACCGTGATAAATACAGCCTGCTTGATTGAGTGGCCTTCCTGTGTGCAACAAAAGGCAGATCCTCCTTTGTATTCCTCCACATTTTGCGGGATTTGAGACGTGTCCTCCGTGTATCGGCGTGGCATCCAAGCGGCGTCCAATCAGCTCGAACACTGAATGAATCTGTGTTCATTTCTGTTTGGCTCGGAACGGATGTATTTAGGCCGATTTAATCGGAGAGCAGCCAGAACCTGTCAGGCAGAATGGGTGGGAGAACGCCCATGAAGGAGGGCTCCCTAAAGCTCCAGAACCAAGGTGCTATACTCCTACATCGTGAACCAACCTGACATTCGCTTCTATTAATATATTAGTGTGTGCTGTGCGATTTGAGCTATGGTGGATGTGCAGAATCCTTACTACTAGTTAGTATTGTCACTTGCTGTCTGAATGTCACACCGCCGTTCTTGCGGAATGTTTCGTGCCACTATATACCTGTATATGGATGGATGGACAATAACAGCTGCTTCATTTAACTTGATAAGTAGCACATTTCAACCAGGGCGTATTACATTGCAGTCCTGGTCTGTCCCGTGTTATATCCTCCTGAGACGCAAGGAAAAAGTGTCCTTCAATTTTAGGTTATTTGTCTTTGGAGGAAATAAGACAACTTATAATTTAGATTTTTTAAAATTTATTTTTATTTTTAATTTCACAGCATGTCCTCTTTAGTGTAGAACAGGAATAAATATGTTTCCTTACACGAGTGAAAAGATAGATGCAAAAACAAAATGTCCACTACAATGGACATAAATGAATGGGTGGGGTCTCAGGAGGATATTGGACATATTAGGTGAGATTAGATCTTGGCCAAACTCGAAAGTGACCGAATGTAGGTCTAACATCTCTGGGGGGTGGTGGGGGGGCGCTGCTGGAATATGATTGAGGCGGCAGATGACCCCCCCCAGTTGGCTGGAGGGAGGCATAAAAAAAAAAAACACCAGCATAGACGGGCTATCCTGCTTGGTCCTGAGTACGAGAAGAGCTTGGCAGTGCCGTCGGATGCCTGGGGGGGGGCGGTCCCTGTCAGCACTCTCAGTCCATTAAGGGCCTGGGGGGACGGGGGAACAGGGGGGGACACATAAACACCCACCTCTGATCCTCCTCTTTCTTCCGGGACAGAGCTAAGGGTCCCGCTTCCAAGTTCATCACGAGTGTCACAAACCCCCCCCCCCCCCCCCCGATCGGACACCCAGTCACTGTTGTTGCTTTACCTTTAATGGTACGCTTCTCATTTCCTTAAAAGTGGTTTTGGATCCCAGTGCAAAGGAGCGCCAGCAGGATAACACAGCGTCAGCAATTTAGGGTCCAAAAGGCGCATCTTTCAAACCATTAGGAATTGGGGGTTTTTTTTTCTCCTTCAGACAGCTATCTGATGGCGGGGGCCTTACGCAGAGGTGGAGGTGGACTGTGACATAAGCAGAAAACAGAGAGAAGCTTAGCCAGATGTACTAATGTATTAGCCAGACGTAGCAGCAGTGTGTGAGTATGGACCTGTGTGCTACGCAGCATACCGCGAACATCTGATATGCAGCTTAGTAGTGCTGTAAGTTTGAGGAACAACCTATATCTTGAACTATTTTTAAACATTATGTAGAAATCTGAACGGTGGTGGGGGGGGGGGCATAGAGTCATTCATTGCATCTTCATTCTTTTCTAAATTTTCTAAAGCCGCATACCTCACGAGTCACGACAGACTCCACCTTGCAGTGCATGTCGGGATTTGGCTAATACTGCGAATGACGTAACATTAAACATACGGTCTAAAAATACAGTTTATTGGTAAATGTCAAATCACATCCCTCAGCAAGTAAACACTATCGTTTGTGTCACGCCACGGTAAGAAGCACCACCTGGATGCAGCCGCGCTGCAAAGGAGAGCCTCGCAGGGGACTTCGTTACGCTGACAGAGGGGTATGAGACTGTCCACCTTGCCTAAAAATCACATATAAGACACGGATGTAATTCAGAGCAGGCTGAGGAAGAGCAGGCTGAGGAAGAGCAGGCTGAAGTTGCCAGGGTATTTTTTCTCTGGAATTCATTTGTTGTGTATCAGGACTTCTAAGATTGTTTTGCAAAGTCTTTTACAAATCTCAAAGAATAGCAATAACACAAATTCAGATGAGTTATTTTTCATCTTTGACTCTTTAATAACTCAACTTCAGTTGTTGCATAACTTTTTTATTTAATGATTTTAATAAATATTCACACTGGACATTTCATTCAATTAAGGAGGATTTTTTTTAATTTCCTTCCTTGTGTGATGTCATATAATTAGGTACAGGCCGTTTGAATGATCCCCTCCCTAGTTTGAGCTGGCCTGGTACAGGGTGTGTGCTTTCTGTCATCATTAAAGAACTTGTGCTCAATAGTCAGGCATATATAAATGCTTTCTTATTTAAATTGTGTAATAGAAGGTTACCAACAAAGGGCCTGCATCACGATTTCTGTATCAGGATTTCTTGCTTAGCCGAATGACTTACTGGATTTAAAGTAGCCTGGGATAAATCCCATTTAAACTGGGGTACCTTAAATACAACATGTTATCTGTCTCAGAAAGAAATCTAGCTTTGTGATACAGAACCCAGATTGTTGGGTTCTGTTTTTGTAAACAACTTGTCTACAGTATATATTTATAGAAATGGAAATTTCTGTTTTTGATGTGGTGAGGTGAAATGCCTTGCTTAACTAACACACTGAGGTAAACTTCCCCCCCTGCCCTTCCTCCTTGGCTTAGATCCAGCATTCTTCTGGATTTGTAACCTGTTTGCCCGTAAATTAAATACTATTATCTCATTGACCCACATTTTCTGAAGGATGCCGGCCTAAGGTGAATGAGTTTTATGTGAGACCTTTAGGATTTATAAATCAACTTATAAATCAACAATCTGGTTATTTATTCCAAAATATTCTCAAAATATTTCAGGTTTTTTGTTATGTTATGTAGAGGCAGGACTCTTACGTGTAAGCTTACTGGTGAAAGACAGACTTCTATCCACAGAGTTGGCTCACATCCCAGGATGAGCGAAAGTGATTAACTCAGGGTACTTACACGAATTGCTCTGTAAAAGACAGACGTTTAGTTACTTTAGGGGAGATCATCAGCCTAAACAACTACAAAAATAATGCTCAGCAGTAGCTGGAAAAGCAATTTACAGCTTTACTTATATCTTTAATTTATTCGGTACATTTTCCCTAAATACCTTGCTGTTCACCTTCTTGACGAGTTCCTTCCAATTTGCAACTGGAAAATGTCCGATTATTGCATGGTCCACCACAGAGACAGCCTGAGGTGTAAAAACCCAGCCTCCCCGTTCGATGTCAGGCTGACGGAAGGGTACCCTGTGCTGCTAATTTCATTAATTTGTACCAGCTGCACATCAGCTCCACAAAATCACGCAGTATCTGGAAAGTTACAGGGAGCCTGGGCTGCTTAAAACGATAAGCGTGCCTTCCATGGAGACTCTGTCCCATGCGGAGGCAATGGTGGCCAGTGGTTTCCTGGGGACTGGACCGGTGGCCCATTGAATGAGCTGACATCTCCCTGGAAACCCAGGTGACAAGCAGGGCAAAAAATCTCCCGACGTGGGTGAAAACACCACCAATTTTCCCCAGTAAGCCCCTAGCAGAGTTGATCCAATAGGACCCTGTGGGTAACAGAAAATGTTAACCTGTTCACTGCCAGGATGAATGAGCAAAAATGTTAGCTATACTTGTAGAAAGATCACCTGATCAAATGCCCTACTGCAGAAAGAGCATCATATCACACTTATCAGTAAACAAAACAGGGGAATTTTAAGTAAGTTGCTATCTTGATCTTAAAATATAAAATGCAATTCATCCACTGTTTACAGCAGGGGTGCCCAATCTTATCTGCAAAGGGCCGGTGTGTATGTGGGTTTTTGGGATAACCTGTAGGTCAGCTGTTCAAACCCATGTGTGAGGACTCTTCAGCCAATCAGTCCTCTAGTTAGTAATCTAATTAGGGAGTTGCAGCGAAAACCCGCATACACACCGGCCCTTTGCGGATAAGATTGGGCACCCCTGGTTTACAGCGACTCTCATCTCATCTCTCTCGATCTCATTTCACGCATGATAAGAGGGGCTGGAGCCATATATTTGCAACAGCATTATGAAAGGGAGGGGTGTCTCAGCGGGTTACAATGCTGGGTTATAATGATCAGAAGGTTACCAGTTTAGATCTCCGGGTTGCCAGAATGATGTCGTCACTGATCCCCCGAGCAAGGCCCTTATCCCTTAATTGCCCCAGGGACCGTCTGACCCTGCTTTCTCAAAAAAACACACATCGCTTTAACTAAAAGCATCTGTTTCAAATGTAAGTCTGTTTCTAGAAATGACAGTGAGCATCTGTCTGACTAAAATATGTGCTATACTACGTTAATGTGAAAATATGCTTCAGATTTTTAA